TTCATCCCATGGGTGTAACTCTGGCGCTCACCAGTTGCTCGATCGCTTCGGTTAGTATTTCACACCTCTTCAGCACCACAGATAGATAGCTAACAAATGGAATAGACTTGCATACTTGGAAGAACCAAGGCGCCTCTGCGGTGTTTGCTTCCGTCGACCCCTTCCCAACGCAGGTAGTGTGATAGGTTTTCAAACACATGGTACACACCAGACCACTTTTTACCACTTTGGCACATGGTTCGCATTTGCTTTTCGTACGAGACATGTTCTCAGTAGGGGTAGGAAGAGGATGGAGATACTGACGCACCGTTGCGTGGCGCTCGGCGCTGGTTTGAGGTCAGCAGGTCCAGGCGATGTGCGTGCTATCGATCCAGACAGTAGAGGGTAGACAGCGATGCGAGACGAAGCGACTGAGTCAAAGCAAAGTGACTTGGAAAATACAGTCTAATGACGACAGTAGCAGTTCCAAGGGCGGATCAAATTGACGACTATCGCTTTGTAGAGCGACTTGAAGGAATGGTAGTAAGCTGATCGGGTGACTCTCGAAAAGATCTTTAAAATAAGACCACAAGAGTTCTTGTGATACGAGAGGAAAAATAAAACATCCGATAAGCTTCAAATACGGTTGACTTCGAAGTTGCAAGAACACAGTTTGTTGGTGATCCGTGAATGATAGATCCAATAGATGAACAGTGGTAGGAGGAGCTCGCGGAGCCAAATCGAATGATGGCACGTAGGTCCCTGTGAGAATAAATCCAAAGATTTGGAGGCGAATAACGCAGGAGGACAGTTTTTTGCGGCAGCACGGCTAAGTGTGCAAACACGATTTATTATGCCTCGGCACAAAGGAGGTCCCAAACAAACACTGATAACTACCGACCAATCCACCTCAATTCGATATTCACTCCCCTGGTCAGAAATTAGATGATGAAATTTGTCAATTCTAGTGGCCTGATCAATAGTTTGCAGTATGGTTTACTTAACAAGCGATCGTGCACCACCTGTCAATTGTATTACCTTAAGCACATTTCAGAATCAATCGATGCCGACTATGCAGTAGTATTAGTTTTTCTTGCCATACAGCAATCGTTCGACCGAGTACCTCACAAACGTCTGTTATAGAATTTGGAGAACCTTAGGGATCCGGTACCCATTACTAGGTTGGCAATCTTCGTACCTAAATGGTCGTCATCAGATAGTCACTTTAAGTGAGTATCACTCTTCTGTACGCACATTCAACTGTGGGGTCATTCAAGGGAGCTTGCTCGGTTCCTCACTCCTTTTGCTCTACATTAATGACATCACCACATCTGTTAAATGTGGTACGCCATTTTTATTTGCTGACTATATCAAAATAAGCTATAAGTTTTGGCGTGACAAGATTCACGGGACACTGCTGCTCATTCAGGATAACTTCTATTCACTTGAGTCATGGTGCTTCACATGGGTGATGAATTTCTCGGCTAAGAAATCAAGCATCATGTCTTACGGCTGCTGCATCCCCGAAGGATCTATCGCCCTAAACAAGGAACGCGTCCCTACACAGCGGTTCACGCGACATCTTGGGATTAGATACTAGGCTAGGTTCAATTTATCCGATCAGGCGCAATACCAAGTAGCACTTGACAGACTGTCTGTATAGAGTATCTCAAACAAAATCCACACAACCTATGCTACAGTTGAGCTTTTAAAGCAACTCACTCGGCACATCCTCGAAAACGGCAGCATAATATACGGCAATATGAGAACGAGTAACAGAAGTGCTGTGGAGCACCTGCTTGGTAGGCACTTTGCAATGAGTTATGGAAAACATTTCAATGAACTTTAACACGAACCACTATGGATTCAACGACTCAAGCACAGCTAGTCGCTGCCTCCCAACGTTCTACACAAAACGACCTATTCCGATATGCCTGCACTCAACTTCGTAAATTATACCCATGGAAATGCAAGAACACAATTTTGCGAAGAGTACTCTTTTCCATAACTATCCTCAGGCATTTGCGATTATAAAATGGAAATGCAAAACACAAATAGATGATGAATCCAAAGAGATGGGAATAGTGGAATCACGACAAACAGAAACTCGAAAGGCTTGATCAATAAAGTCCACTAACAACACATGTAACAGAGCACATGCCGGTTGATCGGTGGGATGCCAAGCGCATCATCCGACCACTGTGGGCGTGCGGAATAATAAATGTTGATAAGCTAACTAGGGCCAAGGCAAAAGAAGCCTTTGCAGAGAAGCGTTCTGTTTACATAATTCCGGTTGCATTATTCAAATCGCGATCGCTTGGGCTGTTCGTAAGACCTTTCGTGTACCGTGGCTGTACTACATAGAGTACTTGGAAGGCATTAGCGGTCGTAATTTTGTTTGTCGTGATTCCATTATCCTCACCCATTTGGTTTCATCAGCTATTTGTGTTTTGCCTTACCATTTTATACTCGTAAATGCATGAGGAGATTTGTCGAAAAGAGTACTCTTCGCAAAATTGTGTTCTTACACTCAAACTACAACATTGCTTAACTCGAATGCTTCGCAAACATGGTTTTACAATGAACAAACCGAAGGATAAACGAACGACCGCTCTAAATTTTCCCTGGACAGGTATAAAAAAGTGAAATAAACGGCCAATAACAATCAGGTTCTGTGACAACGATGTAATGACATTAGTCCCAGTAGTTCACGAGCTACATAGTGCTTCTCCTTTGTGCGCATTCCCTGCATCTGCCTCTAGCGGTCATGAGTTCGATCCCAAGTATGGTACCGAGGGAATGCTCACCATTATCGAGCCCCAATATTGCGAAACGCGTCTGATGCTTCTCCGGACTAGGCTGTGCTATGTAGCACGTGAACTACTGTGATGAGTTCCTCAATAAAATCACAACTTAAATCCTGCTAATTGCGAGTAAGTTGAAATAAATGGCCTCTCCTAACTTCAGATGCAATGGATTTAGCGTCTAGTGAGAGGACGTCATCAGCTTGCATGCTAGCCACTGTTAGTGTCAGTGGAAGGTAGGTGGTGCTATATCCCAGGTGAGGACTTGACAACGTCTAGAAGCAGACTGGCTAATTATCCAAATCTAACTATTATAATCTCTTTATTCATATTGGAAGATTCCCCCGATACACTGTTCCGAGAGGGGCATAATTGCGCCCAAACACCACTGTTTTCAAAACTATGCTTTTGCCTCAACCATCCGCTAGCGCCTTACTATATGAAATACATACTTCAATATTCCACCTATACATATCATCCATGCAAGTTCATGGATACTTCTGTACACATTGATCTGTGCTTCTACAGACACAGTTTCTCGCATCAAGAAAAATATACGTGTTATTTTTATTACTGACGTTCACCAACACTCGTCAACACAGTTTCGTACGGCGTAGCTTTTCAATCCGGCTAATCCCACTCGGGATTTCTACTCCATTACTTCTATTCACACATCTTTAGGGTTTCAACCTACCGAGTAATTTAGGCAATCCATGCAAATACTTTCGTCAGTAAACTGGTCGACATTGTACTGTTAGGTCAACGAGTATAACACTGCTGCTGCTTTTCTATCTATTATCCTAGACCTACATTCATACGTGGGTGGTCGTGATAAGGTCAAAGGTTCTGACATCCTCGCGTTTAACTTTCTCACAGTTCCGCCTTGGTATGCCGATGCATATTTTCAAAACTTTTGTGATCCTGAGGTTCTTTTTACCTGTTCCGTTTGCACAAATCGGAGAAGTGTTTTTGAGACACATTCGTTATGTTGATTGCTAAGTCAGATTGTGAAGCGATGCAGAATACGCCAAACGAAGTGTAAAATTTCAGCAACCAATGCTTTCAGACGGATTTGGATTCCCATATTTTTCAGGCCTTCTTGAAATCAGTCGAACGCCAGTTCAGTATGCCGAGAGCTATATCGCTCGTCCTTCGCTGACGATTGATTAACGAAGTCGAGTTAGGATATCGGCAAGGAATATGCTTGACTGAACAGTAATCAACTGTGCTTGTATGGCAGATTAACTATATACTCGAACAAAAATTTCGTTTCTCAGTAAGGAAATCTGAAGTCATATTAAAATAGAGTGAATATATTCAAACACTTGTGGCCTGAATATGCTGCTTCGTTCAATTAGTATGTTCACTCTCTAAGAAACAAATAAGGACAGTAGTTGGGTTGTAGGATGCGCCTCCATTTGGTCCAAACTAGTGCAGAATGAGAAAAACATAGTAGATTTCAAGTTCTTAGCTTAAAAATTAGAAGCTGCGAATTCATACACGCTGCGATAGATAACAGAATAAATTTCTTTTGCTCAACTATTTCCATATATTACTGGCAGAAGTTCACACAGATTTTTCTATATACTAACTGCGGGTATGCATCATCACAACGAGACATGGGACTAAATTTTTACGGTACTAAGAGTAGTTCAATGGCTGCAAGTTATTGAGGGTTGCTCTCGTTGAGTCTACTAAGAACCACTCAGTTGAGGTAGGTGAATTGCTAGAACAGGCGAACTCATTTTCAGCAGTCCTGTGTCAGTTAGAGCAAAGCACGTCTAACCTGTGACGACGCGTTATCGCAGTCTTTTCTCAATGGTTTTACACCACCTTCCCCAAGGTACATTCTCCTAATAATTAGACTACCGACTGCCACATTTTAAATGCATTTGACCTTGACCAAGTGGCTAAATCTATTGGGTTCCTAAGTTGTCAAACTCCTCCTGATCAGTGCAGGATTCAATAGCCACTATTCTCACCACCATGTGAGTCAATACGCTGATTCAGAATGTCTATAAACGATAGCTGTCGAACCAGACTGGTTTCTTCCTGTCGATGCGTCTCCGTTGAGCTCATTGTGATCATATATTTTCGGAGTTCGGTTTGACACATCCTGCTCTATTAACATAAAAATTACTGGGCTGAGTATCAAAAGGAGGAACAAGAGAAGCAAAAATGGTCATGCAGTTCATGAACTGAAGTGAAAGTTCAAGTTCAAGTTCCAGGGAATGTGTAAGTAGGTTCCTGGGATAGTGAGAACCCCATTTGTAGTCCTTCCAAAGAAGATCCTCCTTCACTTGTCGTCCCGAACCTCCGAGAGCGTCCCGCCCAAAGCAGTTGGCTACAAAGCCTTTGCCCATCAGCGTCGATCTCCCGAAGCTTTCGGCTTTCCGCTTCGCAGAGTTCCTCTTCGACACCTGGAAAATCAGAAAGAGTGATCCGATTGGGTACCCTGCATATTTATATCGTAGCACTTCAGTGACCCCGCGATGACCAGTAGAGCCAAATTAGAGATGTCACGGTCTGACGATCCAAGACGACGAATAAGTTCTCCAGAGCCCTTCCAAATGTACCCATAGTCTGAAATGATAATTGGCCAAAGCACTACATTAAAGACTTGGACCCCTTGCCACCAAGATGGGACCGTATCGAATTGGATGCCCCGTATACTTGGAGACTCTCCCATGGTACGCCAGTTCTTGGCTGTGCGCCGATGTGACAGCTACGTATGCAACAATGATCAAACCGTTGGCGCAAATTATGAGGTCCAGTTTACCATACCTCACCAATAACGGGATGATGGGTTCAACATATACCGTCACATGCTTCCGCTTGGCAATCTGGGCAATTTTTTGTACTACTCGATGGTGTCTCATGCACCGCGTGTCATGAGTAAGGCAACACTTCTGCAAGATGTGCCGGATGGAGTCTGACTCCCCACACCCGCCACGGGACTTGACATCATCAGCCTTCCGGGAAACCCCCTGGAGCTCCGCACATTGGTAGGCAAGTGTCCGCCCCTTAACGATGGCATCCATTGGATGCTCCCCGCTTCTTGTCTCATCAGCTGTAAGCTTTTACAGCCACACCTCAACTCAAGCTTCTCTCTTCAGATACCTCGAAACGGCCTTCTCATATTCCACCACAGTCCGCATGAGACGGACTGGAACATTGACGCTTCCGATCTCAACCTTGCAAGCCTCTGTCTCCAGAATCCCGCGCACTAACTGCGATGGCGAAGAACATGGCCGACTGACCTTGGCCTGTTGAGCACAAGGAACAATGATACTCCACGACAGCACGTCGAGACCTCACGGGCCCTGACAAGTGTAGAAGAAAGAGAAAGAAACATCTTTCGGGTAACGCAAGAACTCCCGCACTTTGGCACGCAGCATCTGCTCCATTTGTCGCATGGTCTTTAGATGAGCAATCCCCAGAACCAACTCATGAAGCAATATTGGGACATACGAAGTCACGCATTATATTCAGTCGTTACTGCGGTTTGAAAGGGGCACGTAAGATCTCGTTGGGCCACTCAGCAAGAATATCCGTGCTTTTATTTGGCTTCTTCCCTTCCAGTTGAATCTCAAACCAAGGTAACGGATCGCATCCGCTACCACAACCGGTCTAATCTCCCCGCCAACCGGGGGATAAGCTTGTGGCACCAGGACGACGCACTTCTGTTTGCCGATCCTTTTGACCGTGATGGTCCGAGACTTCAAAGCGTTCAACGACATACCTGTCGCCGATAGAGTGTGCTGCAGAGCCCGCAGCTTCACAGATAACGCCTCTTGGGAGAATGCGAACAACACAAGATTATGAGCGTATGCCAAAGCACCAATCTCTTCCCAAATAGTCGCACCCCGATCAGGCAGTGTAGCAGCAATCGTTGAAACCATGATGAAAAAGAGAGGAAACAGTTGGTCCCCCTGCCTCACCCCTCTGTGACAATCCGACACCTCGTCGTCAAGGAGCAACTTCGAAGAGGTGTATAACGCACGCAAAGAATGCTGGAGCTCTGGTGGGTCTCCATGTGCTGCTGCGACTCGAATAATTGTGTTAATTGACACAGTGTCGAACGGTTTGGCAAAATCCAAAAACGCTAACGCCGCATTCAGGCAGTTGGACTGAGTCATCCTTACAATGCCCCGAAGGACGCATGAGGCCTCAAGACACCCAGCCCGCTTTTGAAAGGTGACTTGAAGTGAAGACAGGGTCAAACGTGACCTCCATCTTTTAGCCAGAACTTTATGATAGGCCCGCAGCAGAAGCGAAGAAAGCGCGATCGGGTGGTATGCTGACGGTGTGCTGGGGTCCGACCCTTTGAGCACAAACGTCAGCCGTGCTGTCGCAAGAGACGCGGGAGGGAACTTAAGCACCACCATAAGATTGAACAGCTGTGCGCGCACAGTCAATTCAAAGGATTTACCGTCCACCACAGTCACCTTACCTGGTCCTGGGGCCGCATCTCCGGCACTTCGCATAGCATCAACGAATCTGCTCTAGACAATGGCGCAATCAGACCATAATCCTGGTCTTCTTCTGTGGGAACCGGTTTCTCATCCACTGCACTTTGCACAGCAAAAACAGATCACCAATACTCATTGATCATCTGGTCGAGCCCAAGGCGTTGTGATTTGTATGCGCTCAACCAACTACCATACTGGATCGCCTGTGCAGCATCTTTACGTTTTATAGTCCACAATTACTGGATTGCTGCATAGTTGGCCTTCCGGATGGCCCGCCTGCCAGCAGCAGTCTAGGTTCTCCGTTGAATCTGGGGGGGGGGTGCCATTTGAGTGGAAAGCACTGCTCGGTAATCTTACACAGACGAACCACGCCTGCACACTTTGTGAGCGTACCGAGTTGCAACTGCTCAGCAAGCTGAAGCAGCTGACCAGCCAGGTCATCCCCGTGCAAAAAGCGCTTCAATGCCGTGATGCTGTGGACAAGTATTACGATCGACCATTTGGCAACATTCAGACCAACCTTAGGATAGGCACGCTCCTCCCCCATTTTCGAGTTGATAGCTTCCAGAACCACATTGGCAGAGGCACCTACCTCAACCATCGGCGATTTGATAGCCTTCAGTACTACCTTGGAAGAGGCACCCTCCTACCCGTTCGAGGTATTAAATCAACCAACTCACCGAACACCCCGTCCGGATCAGAATCACACCAAAGACATTTCGAGAATTAACGGAACTGCTCCTCATAGAAGAAATGCACGAGGTTTGGCTCAAGGGCCGCTTCGTTTTGATATAGATTACAGTTAGTGGTTGTCCCATCGGACACTAACTCATTTTCGATCAAATCCACACTTACCTCAGGAGGCACCACCGGAGGAACACGAACCACCGCCGGTGAGTCCCAAAGCAAGCCCTCCGAAATAGGCCTACATCTCAGCCAGCGCATCTTCATCAGCTGCTTCTTGATGCCTTCAACACTCCGCCTAGGAAACTAAGGAACGAGCCGACGATAGACTTTCTGTTTATTTGAGCACTCCGGAAGAGACTGGTTTGCTTGCAGAAACAACCGTGAAACCTATTATCCGGACTAATCTCTTCGTATTGGCACCATTTGTAACTTCTCCTTATTAAGCTCTACAGGATATATGTGCCTCTTTTGTTGGACAGGCCCACGCTTGATACCGAAGGTTGCACGGCAAAAGTAGGCATACTCGTCCAGGACATCAACGACATCACCAGAAGTGTTATGACCCACAACCACCTGAGCTCCCATTACCATTATAGGATACAGACCTACCTCACGCTCCACACCCAAATGCTCTCCCATCAAGACGCCACCAGAACCAAAGTGGGGATACCAACGGCATGATCGGTACGGTTTTGAATTAAGGTAGAAGTCTAGCCTGATTTTGACTTCGTGAAAGGTTTAGTAACCCCAGAGTTGACCCACGCAAGGTGGTTAGCCGTAACTAGGTTGTCCTTGGCCGCATAAGTTGACTTAGTAAATCTTTCCGAACAAACTCATCACCTGTTTACATATTAGCGCTCGATATGTTATCGATGGTGTGGGTGGTTTCCGTCTCTGACTCGTTCTCCATTTAGTCACTGACTTCCATTATATTGAGGTGTCATGAGCCCGCCCACTGTTACTGCGCAATCTAGTAAGAACCTGACAATATTGCGACGTTCATGTGGGTGGAGACCACACAACTGGACAACATTTCGTTTGCATAGCTTATTGTGGTCCTTTCCCCTCTGCATTTGTACAATTGAACCAACTATCCATGTGTGTATAACACACGCCGACGGCTCCGAGTAATCTCAATTTGCCTGTCGATTGCATTTATCCATTCAAATAAAAGGCCGAGGAGTGAGACGTCGGTACTTTGTTCTACTTTTTACATGGAACCAAATCCTCGTCTATTTTTAGTAATTTGGTGGCTGTTGATTTGGATCCGTGCTGGTAGCAGTTATTATTGAAGAATTGTAAGTTGCTGCTTCTATTTTTCCCAATAATACCTTTATCCAATGCCGAATTTATCGTTGTATGAGTTCGATGAAAACGCGTAAGCTCATGCATGCAAGATGCTTTGTCACTTACACTAGGGTTGCTTTTCGGACCAGAGGATAAATAAACGGAGCGCAGTCTTCGAATTTCGCTCCCTACATTCAAGTGATCGGCACGCATCAAGACATACAGTTATGTTCATTTAGAAATCAATATGCGTAGCCTCCAAAAATTAGTCCGAAAGCTGCATGACATAGATCATGCCTACACCAATTTTTCCACTTTTAAATGACCGGGGTTATACACATGAACTATTTGAACAAAGCTAAGGGTTCAGCTTGTAGTAGGAATATTAAGTATACTTAACAATATCATTATTTTACACATATCATTGTGCTCCGGGGTTATCAGCTTAGTACAGATGTTGCACGTGTCCAGGTGACTATTTTTCTGAATAGTTCTGACATGAGCAATATTTGCCTGAAACTCAGTGGAACAATGGAACAATGGTATAATACGAATAAAAACAGCCAAGGCTTGACGAGGCTCGTGGGATGGTTTGTGGGAATAGCATTAGTTCCATTAAGTTGCACAGAAGTGAACAACACCTCTGTGGAGTCACCACATTATCCACGTTAACACAGGTATATCCATCTAACCGGAAGTCGTAGTGTTGGTGAGCACAATGTTTATCTGCGTCTTGTCGTCACTCAGTGAACAGAAATCAGATCAAGTAGTGTAAATGATGTAAAGCGTCGTCGAGTCATTTTTAATAATGAGTAACGTGGGCGGTGAAATGACACAAGTCGAAAGACTGGTCCACGGTTGACAAACTCGAAGGGAAAAGTAATTCCGGCGGCACCCAAGTCGACTGTATTGGTTGGCAAGTTTCAACTTAAGGCCCCTCCATTCTGTGTTGCAGCTAAGCTTTAGGTGGTCGCAAGCGTGACCGGGGTTTGACAAAATGTGGAACGCCAGGATGAGGTCTTCCCGTAGACGGCGATATCTTCCGCTGTACGCTCCCAGGGCTTTCAGTCGCCTATCGTATTGCAGATGAAACAAATCAGTCACATTTTTATTGCTCGACGCTGTGCAGTCTCCAATGTAACCAGGTCGCGTTCTCTATATAGCGCCTCACATAGCATTGAGTATTTGGGGGAAGATGGAATGATCGAACCTCCCGAACGCCATGGTAACAGAACAACTTGTTGGTTCGCGGTGTTGGATGCCTACAAGGACTGCGCCGAACAGCCCCGGTCCCCTTGGATTACAACCCCGAAGTCTCGCTGTTGTGAGGCTGTGTTCAGCATGTCTTCTCCAAGCTTAATTGCGTACGTGGGAATGTGGCGGACGTGCACAGTTTTGAACTTGTCTGTGTTAAACGGAAGTAGATTTAAAATTGCGCATTAAAAAGCCCAGTCTAAACATCGTTACACCATATCGTCGTCTTCCTGAGAGTCGCTTGCCCTCCTCATCTTGGTGTTTTCGGCAAAAGCAGGAACTCCGACTTGATGACAATTGCAAGGTTGTTAATAATGAACAAGCATAACCGCGGCCCCAACACTCATCTTTTGGTACACCGCAGTCCACACCATTGGGATCAGAAAATGAACTTCTAACTCGAGCCTAAAGGCGCAGGTGAAAGAGGAAGTTTCTGAGCTATCCAAGGACAGGGTTTCCAACTCCGTATGCTTGTAGCTTTTAGAGAAGAATGCGTTGAGTTATGGGGTCGAATGCATTAGCAAAGTCTAGGTAGATGATATTAATGCTGGTCCAACTGTCAACTATCCCAGTAAAACTGTCACAAGTAAGCAGTAGGTTGTTAGTACATGATCGATGCTGACGGAATCCGTGTTGCTCTAGTGCTATGATGTTAGACCTTTCGAACTAGCCCATTACAACCTCAGCTATGATTGATTCCGTCATCTTCGAGAGCACTGGGTGGATGGTTACTTGGCGATCGCTGGCTGGCTATTGAAAGGATACCTTGCTTCCACATGTTAAGGATCTGCTGTTCGTCCAGGCATGTTTGCAAAAGTCTCGTTAGTGGTTGAGCTATGCTCCTAGCTGACACCTGCAGTGCTCTCCAAGAAAAGTTGTCAACTCCGGGGGAACTATGGGCGCGCAACTTTAACATTTTTCTCAAAATGTTCGCTCAACTACACGTGACGTGCGTAAATACTGGCATCTGAGAGAATGGGAGCACGTATGTTACAAATCTTTGGAGCACATCGGAAAATTGGGGCATATTGTAGCCGTAAAACGTTGGCTGCATCCTCGGCGGTTTGAGCACATCCATCCAATGGTATTTGTGGAGGAATACCATGTTTCACATTCCGGAGGCTGTTCACATGTCTGTACAGAAGCCTTTTCTTAACGCAAAACTTTTCCGTTGGATTCCGCTGGTGTATTAATTTGTCCTCGCACACAAGTGTGGTAAAGTGATTACGATGTAAAAAGTAGTTACTCCAGCCGTCAGGAATTGCTTTCGCTGTATACACCTGTCACGCAGTCTATTACTGTCAGGTGTTTTCGAGTTATACACCGAATGAATGATTTTGCCCTTGCAGAACGAAGGGACTTGTTGACTGATGGAGATGTAATCAGGTCACTGAACTTGCTAGTAACATACAACAAAGCACTGTCAATGGAACAGTCGTCCGGAAACACCCAGCTGGCATCTCCCACAAGTTCTACCAGTATGCTGTAGTGGGTGACTGTTAGAAAAAACTTAGTATGTTCTTGTGGGTACTCCGCATAATACACGAAGTCCTAAATTATGGTTACGTGGCTACTTCGTTCCAGAGGGCTCTCCAGCCTTGGTTTCTCAACTATGAGCTCTTCGTTTGTGAACACTAAATAACGCATAGATGGTATATTTCCGGCTTTGCATGGGGTGGATGAACTGACATGGCTGATGAGCAGAATCTTTGCAATATACTCTTACAGGTCGGTCTTAAACTGCTCGTTTGGATGCCGGAACCATCAAATCATGAAGATTGAGGTCACCTGAGATAAGAACATGGCTGTATCGTACTCGTAGGACCCTTCCCAAGCATAATGCCAGGCGGGAGTCCATCTCTGGGGTGGACATTGCGGGAAGTTAAACAACAGCCAAAAGGCAATTGTCGTTGCGTCTCAGTCGCAGACTGCACCAGAGTGAGTCTATGATCAGCGTTTCCGGATCGGCCACCGGTTAGCACTGCAGGTCGTTGCGGTAGTATAACATTACCCCCCGAATTTGCTAGGCCGGTCGTTTCGGAGTAGGGACATACCATTTATCGCGACTTCAGCATCGGTAATTTCTGAGTGCAACCAGGTTTCCATAAAGAGTATGAGGTCCCAGGTATGTTACGTTTGACGTGGCCGCAGTTAGGAAAGCTTGTTCAGGAGACCTTGTGCATTGGTTTACATGCAGGAAAGTTTCTCTGTGTTTAGTTTAGAATCGTGGGATGGGTGTTTTGGATACAATGTCGTGTCGACCGGTAAAGGTCGGCAACAATTAAGAAGTATACGTTAGGAATGTGAGTGCTTGTGCTCGTTCCATATGCTCATAAGACCTAGGTACCTACATACTCAAGACGGCAGCAACAA